GAGCTCCTATGGGGTGGGCCTCTCCATTCTGCTCACAGTTCTCTTGGCTCTTGTGCACCATGCTGTGCATCCCCACAATCAAGCACCAGGCCTTATGCTGCCTCCTGTGTACCAGCCTGGCTTGGTGCCCTCTTGACATGTTCTGGCACACATCACAAGTTGTATTCTTCTTGCCCAAGCTACGACCAACTTAATAAACTCACACTGTCTTTATAGGGTTCCCAAAGCCCATAAAACAGGGGGCAGTCCCAGCCGTCCCCTTGAGAACAATGCTCCCATTGGGTGGCAAATGCAATAAAAATGGGGTCTTTTGGAGACTTTACACAGCTGGTTGCAGCATCACAATTTCTGCTGGCAAGCTATCTTTCCAATCGGTATGGCATTTGTGCTATGACACAACCCTTTCTTAGACTTGCTCAGAATTTGTTTTAAACTTTGGCAAATTAATTCAGGAAGTGAAAAGAAGACATGGGAAGTATTAAAGATCGGGTTATTTCTATGGAAAAGTTTGACAAATAAGTGTTTTAGTTTGTTTGATCATTGTTAAAAAATAAAGTCACCTTCTTTTTGCAGAATCTTTTTTTCTTTTGCAAAATGTACTTTATAGTGATCTTTGAAGTTATTGCATTGGGGCAATAATAATTTAAGAGGTTCTGGTTTAGTCAACAGTGTCACAGAGCTGTACGAATCCAAGACAGGTCACTACAACTATCATGAATGAAATCTGACTGTTTTGAATTGACTTGCCTTCCTTAAGCAAAGGAAAACAAGCATTTGGCAAAGGTTGTTTCAACATACTGTTAAAAGAAAAATAAGCTGTTTAGGATACAGTTATAGTGCACAAAAATGTTCTATGAACAATTGCCACAGTTGTTTGAAAGCCAGATGGTGCAACTGAAATTTCAGAGTATTGAATTTTGAATGGGGGATTTCTTTTTATTGTTCTTATTTTGTCTTGCGCCTAGGTAAAGTAGAAACTAAATAAAAAAAATTTAAATATCGTTCCATAAAATGGCAATCTCAGTCTCCCTGATTTATTCAGCCATTTACACTTGTTTCCCCCCCTTCCTCTTTCCCAGGAATTGACTGTTGAGACTTTTTTTTCTGTTTATCATTTTTTCTTTCTTCTAACATTTATAACTAACAACAGCTAACAATATAGTGGAGACAGATCAAAACCTTTCTCATATTTTACAATAACTCATTGCATTTTGCAACTGTTTCATTATACAGTTAATCAAACTTAAGCTCAGTATATTTTAGAAATCATGGTTAACTTTGTTGTAAAATTTGTCCCTCATTTTTAAAGGTTTAATTTATCTAAATGATCACAATATTAATAATTTTTAATTGCTACTGCATACATACCACTGTATTCAGTTACTGTCTATATTCTATAAAGTATTGCCTGCATTTTCTAATACAATAAAACTATTAACTTGGGGGGAAAAGAAAGGAAAAACAGTGAGTTTAGATCCAGGGTCTTAAATGTATAGGCATTTAGTCTGTGATATTTTTCATACTTTTTGAAAGCCTCGAAACCCCTTTTGGCTTTACCGGTTCTGTACATTTTATAAACCTGATTTTAAAGTTTCTTTAAACTGACAGTTATGTTCTAAATGTTTATACAGCATCTACAATTACTGTATGTAGGGAATTGGGTTAGAAATTGATTGTTATAGGCACCTTTTAGTGGCTTTTGTGCAAACAAGGGAAATATCAGTAAACTTACTCTTTAGTCATTCAACTCCTTTAAAGGTGTAAAAGCAACATCATCCTATTTTGTACTTATCATAGTTTAATGAAACACCTGATTTTCCTAAGAAACCATTCTAAGAACAATAAAATTACATAACTTGGAATTTTAAGGGTACTTTGCGAAAGATTTTCTTTTCATTAAATTTGCATAAAATGTGAATTAGTCCACTTAACATGAATAGTAAATATTAACTATGTGTGGTGTGCTATATAGAGCATATTTAAATCAAAATCCATACATGCATTTTACATATGTGTTGTGATCCTGAATTTTAACATCTTTAATTCATGAAGTTTTTAAATTATACTCCTATACAATCCTGAAAATAATTTTAGAAATGTTAAGCTGCTGTGTTCAGAGATGAAGAATGAATACACGCACACACACAAACTACAAAGTGTGCTCTGTATGCAATTTCATGTATATAGATATATTTCTGTGGTATGTTTCTAAAATTATATATTTTATATATGTGTATCTTCATTGCAAATCAGATAGTTTTATTTTTTTGATAGTACAGTGCAATATTTCTCTTGTATGTATGCGCAGTTAAACTGTAAGTGATCATTGGTGTAGAAAATCAGCTGTTCCTGCAAACAGAGAAAGTACGGTACTGTACGCAGGATTTTAAATGCCTGACGGAAAGTAACTTTGTTCTTTATGGCTGGAAATGTGGAAAATTAACAAGCGACTCTTTCTCTGGGACACACCCTGCAAGTACCTCTATTGAGCGGGGAGAGCACAGCCGGCCTTTGGAAGCCAGAGCCTTGATTTACGGCTGCAGTGTTGACAGCTCAGTGGAACCCACATGCTGTTTGCAGCACCGCCAAGCTGGGCTATGACCCGCTGACCTCTACCCTGTGCTCCCCCCTCTTGTCTCTGTGCTGTAATAAAAACCTGTCTTGCAGGCAGGGCTACAATGACTTTGTTGTTCAGAAATGTACCATTTTTTTTTCATGAAATTCTTTTCAAAGCAAAAATAAGGAATGTATGAGGAAATGGGGCTTTGGGAGCAGGTTTGTTTGTGCTAGAATTTATTCTCTGCTTGCAGTTCTCCGCTGTTGGCTCCTGAATGAAACTCCTCTTCTCAGTATGCTTTCCTTCCCCCCCTCCACTTCTGGGGACAACCCCTCTAGTCTGAAACACCAGGGCACACTTTTGAATGCTTGCATTCTTTCACAAGTTCCCTACTTTATGTGCACCTTTTCCCACTCTGTTTTCTTCTGAGTGGCTATCAGGATTACACAAAAAACTGAAAAATCAGCCATACTGCCTTTCTGAACATCTTGTGTCTCTGAGGCTCCAGAATACAGTTGTGTTCCATTTGGAAATTTAACATTTGATAGGGTACAAGTTGATTCATGTCTATAAAATGAGAATTTAAGAGAATTAATGGCTCATTTCATTCACCTATTTTCACACCTTGCTCTAACAAAGGGGATCTTCTTTTAGGCCAAGGAGTAACATAAGGTAAATTGAACTTCTGATTAACTACATAGACATGGCCAGTTATTTATTTATTTATTTTATAATGACAGACGAACGTTTTACCATTGCTTTCTTAATATAATAGGTAATACTTTCCATTTTCCTTAACTAGCATGGTCTTTCATACTGTCTGGGGGGTATTAACCTTATCCAGGCCCACCCCAAGAAAAGGCAGTATTTCTTGTAATTATTTTATGGATGTGTGTGTGTGTGTGTTTAGCTTCAAGTTCCTTGAATTTTAGAACTGGACAGATTTTTTTTTAAAGGCGCAGAATATCTGATTTAAGAGCTCAGTGGTTTGCTAAACCCCATAAAAATTCAGATGGGATAAGAATTACGATTTAAACTGAGTAAAGTTTTTTTGTGTGTGAGTCTGTTAATAGTTGTGGGTATCTGCCCACTAAATAACAATACACAAGAAGTGGAGACTTTTCTTGAAGCTGCTCTCTCAGCAGATAGAGAGCCAGAGTTGGTTTTCTTTGCTTTAATGAGAACTTGCAAGTTAAAAGCTGCTTTCATGTTGGTAATCAACATGTTTCTTCTAGTTGCATGCTATCAATTTACAGTAGAAAATTATTTACAGAGAGCTTTAATCCCTTTACAAATATAACAGAGATAAAGAGAAGTATTTTGAATGTATGTAGATACTAAGTTACCCTTATCTAAGCTACATTCAAGGTACAGTATATATCTAAAATGCAATACACCCCGTCCTAGCATGCTGTTGCACATTTCTGATTCTTTCTGCATTTCTAACAATGCCCTTTTTACTGGAACAGTTTTAGAAGTAACAATGAGGAAACTTGTGGCCAAATTCACGCGGTCTTGAGTCATATGTTATATCCATATGCAGAACATATATTGTGAAACATTAACATGAAGCTTAAGTATTCTTCTAAGATATTAATGGTCTGAAGAAGGGATTGGTGATTTGCATGCCATTCTCTCCATAATTATGTATCATTTTAAGAAATAACTCCATAATTATAATTTTAACTTTTATCCTAATATAATACATATTTTGTAGCAAAAATGAACTATCCTAATCAATGCATTGCATTGGGAAAGGTATGGAAGTAGTGTGTATACGGTGTGAAGGAGAGCAGTGCATAAGACATTTTCTAATCATTCCTTGAGAAGTATAAATTAATGGTTTGTTTTTTCCTAATCTGAATGCATTGGCTTTTTACTTTGAGACCAGCTGAAATCATAAACATTATTATATGCAATATTTATCTTGAATGGGATTTGAATAGGAAGTAGGGAGCAAAGAAAGAAAGCATCAGTGGAGTCCAATCTGTCAGATAATCTATTGAGTTTTTTCCCCTGCATTTAACATCTTGTGCGTAGATTTGGTTTGTTGATTTGTTTGTTGGTATTTGTTTCTTTGTTTCCCAGGGTATTCCCACTGAGTTTACCAATCCAGTCAATTTCCATTCAGTTTCCTTATGCAGCATTTGAAATTGCTAAATTATTCTGTGAGCTCTAGGATATTTCAGGGCTGAAGATGTATTTCTTCTTACATAAAAGAATACTTAACAAAATTATATCACTGTGTAGGAATCATACTGTTTGAATTAAGTCCATACTTTTATCAATGATACAGACTTTTAGAGACCCTGCCCTGCCCTGCCCTGATAGCTTAAACATGTACATAGTTATTGTAGCTCAGAGTTTATTGCTTTTGAAGAAAACTGGAAAGAGAGTTGTAACTTTCTCCCCTTTATTCTGTCCTGTATTTGTTTCTCTCAAGGCTCTTCAGGTGGCAAGGCAATTCCTTCTGCAGCAGGCAACGGGGCTGACTTCTCCCACCAGCAATGAAAATAAGCAGCCGGCTGTTCAGGTAAGTGACAGCAAAAATGTGGGTGCTTGCTATTAAACCTAATAGGACATTGAGAGTGTTTAAAATTCTACTTCGAATGTATATCTAAAAATCTGAGCTTTTTTGGGGTAGCTTTAAAAAGCATTAATAATTCTGTAAATCTTTTAGCAATTGAAGGTATTTTTTGCCTTGCTAATATTATAAGCATGCTTTTCATTGCTATGATGCCTTGGTAAGGCCACACTTGGAATACTGCATCCAGTTTTGGTCACCACAATGTAAAAAAGATGTTGAGACTCTAGAAAAAGTGCAGAGAAGAGCAACAAAGATGATTAGGATACTGGACATATAACATATAAAGATATAAAGAATGGTTGCTGGAATTGGGTATGTCTAGTCTGATGAAAAAAAGGACTAGGGGAGACATGATAGCAGTGTTCCAATATCTCAAAGGCTGCCACAAAGAAGATGGAGTCAGGGGTGGTGGGAAGCTGCTGGTTTAACAACCGGTTTGGTGGTGGTGCACAACTTTCAGAATTACTTATTTTCTATGTTACTTCTGGGGAGTAACACAGCTGAGACACAGCAATCTGCTATGCTGCATGAATCAGCTGAGAGGGTATAGGTAAGTAAGCACAGAGACAGGTGGGCGGCTTGACCTGATCGTTGCCCAGTGGGCGGGCTGAGAGAACCAGTTCACTCAACAGCTGATCATTGGAGCTAGAGGTTCTCCCAAACCAGTCCGAACCAGGAGAATCCCACCCCTGGGCTATACTCCAAAGCACCTGAGGGCAGGACAAGAAGCAGTGGGTGGAAACTAATCAAGGAGAGAAGCAATTTAGAACTGAGAAGAAATTTCCTGACAGTTAGAACAATTAATCAGTGGAACAACTTGTCTCCAGAAGTTGTGAATGCTCCAACACAGGAAGTTTTTAAAAGGAGATTGGACAACCATTTGTCTGAAATGGTATAGGTTTCCTGCCTAAGCAGGGGGTTGGACTAGAAGACCTCCAAGGTCCCTTCCAACTCTGTTATTCTGTTATGTTCTATCTCGTGGTATAGAGCATTATTATTATTCTCATTATACTCATTATAGAGGTGAGGAAAACTGTTACAGTGCTGATGCTTTCTCTAAGGTGGAAGTTTTGTAGCTAGTGAGAATTTGTCTTTTACGTTCTAAGCCAGCACTTATTCTGTATTGTCACTCATTGATAATGTGTGCAGTTTTGACTGTCTTTCTTGGTGGCCTGTAAAAATAATTGTGATACCTGTTATTAGAATCTAGAAAACAAAAGCTTCAGATTTTTTTTTCCCTTTCACAAAAGCTCATCCCTCTTCAAATAATGTCCAAACTTTGGCTAAGTAGCATTGTTGGTTCTGTATGATTCAGAAAGTATTGACACTCCCTTCTCTACCCATTATGTGACTTTCGAACTAGAATATTATCACAGTCACAGAGCTGTTGCTGTTCTGGCATCTAACATTGTGTGGAATATCATGTTGTCATGTTCTGCACTGCCCTTCCCCCAAAAGTGATATCTAGCGATTGCAGTGGGAATGGAGAAATATATAGCATTATGTCATCACATCACACTTTTGTAGACATTACAAGAAAGAGTGTGAAAGAGACAGAGAAAGAGGTAGCAGCTTTATGCTTTTTGTAACATCTAATTACACCCCGAATCAGTTACACCTCAAGCATCAAGCCTGCTCTTTAACTTTAAAATGGTAAAACTGTCCTCTTTTCAGCTTCAAATGTCCCTAGAGACATTGCCAAAGTGGAGGTCATTGTACATACCAGTCAGGGTAGTGGACTTGGGATATGCAAAGGGTTGCCAAATGAGCATAAATTAAGGTCTAAAAGAGGAACAGAGAAAAGGAGGGGAAGCCCAAGTGAGTGGAAAATGACAATTTTAAATAGCTGTGAGGGGGGACTCTCCCTTTAGGCTAATTAAATTTATTGGCATACAGCAGGATACTTTATTAGAGCCACACAGGTTTAATTAACAAAAGAAAGTAATTAGTGTATGCTATACTGAAACTGAAGGTCCTACCTATATATCAGTCTGAATTCCTTCTCAAATCTGCCAGAAATCACAGAAAACCCATAGAAGAGGACATGGAGAAGGAGAGCCTATTTTCTGATTATCTAGAATGCTCAAAGTGGCTAAATCCCTGTGATAATCTTAATATTTTTTTGATCTCATGTTTTGTTTTAAGTGCATCTCAAATAAAACAAGGGGATTATCTTGTCTATGGTTTCTCATTCTGTTTTGCATGCGCACACCCTGTCCTCAAGTGAATATGCCCTGTTTCCTTCTTAACCAGATTCTATTTATTTCTCACAGAGGCTGTCTGCCTCTGAAATTGTACAGCTGAAGCTGCGTTATGTTCCTTTGAAAGCAGGAGAAATTCTCATTTCTTGATGCCCAGCAAGTTTAAGACTTGGAAAGTTTAAGACTTGTGGGCTTCAACTCCCAGAATTCTTGAGCTAACATGACTGGAGGAGGAATTCTGGGAGTTGAAGTCCACAAGTCTTAAAGCTGCCAAGTTTGAAGACCCCTGGCTCAGTCCAATAATTTTCAAATGAAGTCCTTCTGTGAGTTTTCTGTTAACTTTCTTGTTTTTCTGCTGGAGTCTTGAAAACACCATAAAAATGACATTAACTTATGAAAGTTTGTGAGACATGACAGAATCCAGATCCACCTAGAAAGATTTTTTTGTATGTCTCTCTTCCTTCTCCTTCATCACACCTGACCTGAAAGGAGAAGCCGTTCAGTAGAGGGAGCAGAAAAGCCACCAGTTTCATTAATGAGTTTAACTGAAAGTGAAGAAGGCAAAATCATTGTTGATATTAAGAGCAATAATTCATCTGAGCTTCTCCTGAGCCAACAGTCAGCTTTTTCCAATAGCTTTTTCAGGAAGGAAATGCAGTTACTAAGTGGAAAACATATTTAAAGAACAAAGGCAGTAAGGGTGAAGTCAGATTCCTGTAATCTGTGAGTCTCTCTCCTTTTTTACTTTTGCGTGAATACACATGCCCATATTTCCTATTGTTTTTCTCCCCTTTTTTCTTTTCATTTTTTTTAGTGATTATTAAATGTGTGAATCTGGATTCTATCTAGCCGTCTTTGTAAACTAGTCTCATTCTGTCATTTTATGTTTACCTTCCCTTTCACCTTCCCTTGTTCCTGATCTGTTTTCTCTCTCCTTCTTTGTTTTTTATGGTCCTTTTGCTTTGTCTCTTTACATTACCACCACTCTTGGTCCACCCTTTCCAGTCTCTTTTCTGTCTGTCTTGATAACTTTCTCAATGTTAGCAAAGCCTAATGTTCTCTCTTTCTCTGTGTCCCCCTCCCTCCCCGCTCCCTCCCCATCTTTTTGTGTTGCAAAAGCATTTGTGAAAATTATAGGTATGAGTCAGGCATAATTCAAAACTGAACAGCCTCTCTCTCCTCCATATTCTCCAGCAGTGTTACTGAAGGAGGATCCAAATGAAGAAACTGGATTAGCCAGACTTTTTTTTAATCTTTTTTTTATTTTGGAAAAGACATTTATCTAACAGTGGAATGGTGTGGATGAGATTGACCAGGAGTTTTCTTCAGGTGGGAGAATTGATAGAAAGTGCGTTTGTGTGAATGAAGAATGTATTGGATAAGACTAAAATGTGGGCTTGTTGATAGAATGTTTAAAAAATGACTGCAGAATGTCAGAGTATTTTGAATTTGAACTTTTATATAAATTCTGCAGCCAAAGACAAGTCCAAATGAAACAGGTATGCTTCCATGACCATAAGAGAAACAAAACCAGACTTTACCCCTGCTCTCCCCCACCACCACCGCTTGCCAGGCTTCAATCATTGTTTGAAGTCCAGTAGCCTCTGAACATCACTATAATGTTTTCCTTGATAAAGAGGATAGAAAGTATTAAAACAAGCTGCACAGCTAGAAAGGAAAGTCGAGCTTTCTAATGTTAAAATCAGAGTTATTGCAAGTTTAAACACATGAATTGGATGTGGTGTGGCAGAAGAAGGAAAGCAAAGCTCATGTAGCACTTTCAAACTTTTCCATTCAGGCTTGGTAGCATGAATACTACTATATAGTGTATGCATGAATATTGAGAAAAGCCAAAACTGTATTGTCGACCTTACTGAATAATAATATCAGGTACCAAAATTTGCCCACTACAAAAAATGACGTTTTGTCAAAATATGTTATTTTTATATCTCTTTAATTATGTCTTGTAGTGGTATTTTAATATATTGAGTAAAATTGACTACTTGCTACTCAAATCTTTTTGAATTTTGGAATGGACCAGACCCTGATCCATTAATCTGGTATAGATGGAAGCTACCTTCTATATGTAGACAGACTCTTAGTCCAAAGTTTGAAGTTGAGAAGTTTTCTACAGAACAACTTACCAAACTTAAATTGTCTCATTTAACATTCATTGACACTCTGTCTTGTCAATTGCATTTTTGGGGTGTGGGGTGTGTGTGGGGCTCATGCCAAGATTAAACCTCCCTATCAGGCTTGTATAGGCAAAAAGTATTAAAACATTGACTCTATTTCAGGTTGTAGTTGTATATATAATGTGGCTTAGTGAGATAAGTGAAGTGCCTGTCTATTTTATTTAGAATTCACAAAATTACTGTAAACCAAAAAAATTAACTTTAGGCAATTTTTGTTGTGGTTGAAAAAGGCACTCAGATTAGAATAATTTGTGGAACTTTAATGTAGAGGAAATTCAGTGTATATGAACTTTGTGAACTCTGATGCATATCATCCAAATTAATGTGCGAAAAAGAATTATAATGTTTCATCAGATTTTTTTTCAAAGTTCACAGTGCTGTTTTTAGCTCATGAAAACTTCCTTTCAAACTTGTCTTAGGGTAAAAAAAAACTTCTAAAATATCATTTTGAACATTATGTGTGTGTGTGTCTGTGTTTCTGTGAGTGTAATATAAATCACACATTTTAGGTACAAATTGTATGTATTTTAACAAGAGGAAGTGAGGGAGG